TGTGTGTGTATAGGTGTGTGCGTATGTGTTGGTTTGTCACAGCATCCCAACCAGCTAATTCGATTGAGTATTGGCCCATTTAAGTGCCGAGGTTCAACGCACGCCAGTTGCTCATTTAATTAATAATCAAATTACGCATACGCCCAGTTGACGTGCGCCACTGTCATCAATACACAGTCCATTCAATTAAATATGCACTGACACACGCATATATATCCATATACACAAAGTAGATATTTATATAATACACATTTATTATATTCCCACACACAAACTAATTTAATTCAATTAGGGTCGCAGCATCTGTGCGACAGTTGCATTAGAAATCCAATTAGCTCAGATTATACATAAGTTAATTTTGCAATTTGATTCGTATAAATTCTGGCATCGATTTCAGCCCAATGCAAGTGTCCTCCAGCTTTGGGGCCTCTCGTCTGCAATTAAGAATTGCAGCAACCGGGCGACTCTAGGCGCCATCAAAGACGGCTTTTCCATGATGCTCAATTGAGAAGACTTTAATTTGTGTTAAGTTGTTAAAGCTGTTAAAGCTTTATTTATTTATGGTTATTATATAATTGTTCAATATTATTTACGCTTGTTTGGCGAAAACTCAGTGATAGTTGTTGACATCTGGAAGAAGTTTCATTCATCGTTTGGGATTGCAACTTGGTATCTCAAAGGCAAAAGGCGTGGCTTTCCTCGCAAGATTTTATATTCTATATTATAGACTTGAAATATGCGAGATATCAACAGACATTACTATCTACTGCTAGTTCGTCTTTGCCATGTGAGAATTGTGTGGTTGTAGAGATCAAACGTGAGCTGAAGCCAGCATTGAGTGGTTGTGGGTTTACTCAACATTCTGTAAAGGGAAGGAGCAACAGCTAAGCAGAGTTCAAATTTACTAAAGAATGCTAACTCAGTTACAGTTCCTCTCTCTCTCTCTCTGTCTCATATATATCACTCTAATATCAAGGTTTCAGAGTAATGCTAACACTTTTTGATTTGAATAAGTTGGGTTGGGTATGATTTGATGATTTCTTATTGCTTCACTCGCAGCATCAGGACGCTGGCATTAAATTAATCTTCACCCTTTGCCAGGCACTCGGGCAATCTGTTACATGACACGAGGCGTCAAGTCAAACACTTCAGTTGGCTGCTATTACTTAAGCACATGTTTTATAATAAGATTCGAGGCCAACGGAAACAATTTTTCATGTGCCTGCTCGAACGTGTCGCTAGGGCAAACTTCTGCTGCTCTCTCTCCATCACTCCCACTCCAACTCTCTCTCTCTTTCTCTGTCTCTATGTTTCGGTTGCATTTATGGATGGTTATCCGACTCGAAGCTGGGCTAGCAGCTACAGCTACCAGGACAATCAGTCATTCGTCGTTGGGCACGCGCTTCAAGCGCGTTGGCAAATGTGTCCAAAGGTTGCCCATGTGTTTGACTTTTGTTGTGTGCGTGTGTGTGTTGATATTTGAAAGTAAACACACACACACACACGCACAGAGACTTTTGCACCTCACTGTTATGTGCGTTACACTTTCGTCAATCCATCAAAGTCGTTGCGTCTCTCAACCGAGACGAATTTAATCAAGGCATTTCGAGCTTTTGATTTTCACTCGCAAATTTAAATGCATAACCTAAGAGCTTTTATAGGCTGCTCCCACTCTTTGTCTCTCTCTAACAAAATGACCGCAAATTAAATTTGCTGGCAAATATTTCATTCGGAAAAGGCAACCACAGTTTTCTAATTAATGCCAGAAACACAGATACAAAAGCAAACCAAGGCATACGACAGGCGACACCTTAACACCTGTCACTACAACACACACACACGTACACACACACACACACGCTCACATTGGAGTCTTAATTTGCTGCCTATGTCTGCTGCTCCCTTTGTTTGCCATCATTAAGTTTTGTGGGCGTCTTGTTAACATTTATGATTATTGTTTTCTGGGCGTGGTCGTCTCTCTGGCTCTCTCTCTCTCTCAGGCCTGCTCTTGTGTATTAAATATGCAAACTATTATTTAAAGCCCATCCTGCCTTTAATTAGTATCTGTTGTTGCCTTGGCCCTTGCAACATCATCATCATCATCAAGCACACTGGCTGCCAGAAGTATGCACATAATCCACAAGCTGACGCGCTCTCGGATGCATCAAATGTACGCAAATCGGATTTGCTCCGCATTGCACTCCAACTCTCCCCAGCTCTCTCCTGTTAGTTAATATTGCTAAGGTATAAGAAAAAAGCCAACTTTGAAACATTTTATCAGATTATGGACACAGAAAATGCAACTTCCTCTGGTTTATACTTTCAGCTTCCTCCCCGTTTCCTTCCCCTGCTGCCCACAAACGAAATCCGTGGCAGCTTTCGTTGTAACCAATACTCGAGTGTGTGCGGCGAAGGCAAGCGGCAAAAGTTGTAAGAAAAACTAGCAGAAAACTCATGCATACATATTTTCCAACAGGTAAACGGAAACATTAAAATTGTATTTGCTGAGCTTTTCGCGCAACGCTGCGCCAACAAAGCCACAGCAATCGAGCATCAAAAGAAACTCGCAAAAGACTCGAGTTAGAGACACGCAAAGTTCCAACTCAATTTTTTATACAATTTATATGAAGCAGATTTATCGATTCAATAATTATTTTTTTATTTCTATTTTATTCACGTTCATATCATCAATCTCTGTGTGTGTTCTTTTAGTTCTAGAATTAAAGTGATTGCGAAGCTCCGAAACATTTGATTGGAAAGGAAAGCTCTTAAATAAAACTATACTTATACAAAAATCTAGAAAGTTTGTATTTGATTGGTTCGAAATATATTTAAAATATACATCCTCGTCTAGAAGTCTCTCATCACTCGCTTAATATTTATCTTTTGATATAGCTCTACTGAGAAAAGATACCTGGCAAGACTGCAAAGCAGCCGTCTTCTAATTTACTTAAGTGACATTTTGCAATATCTGCACAATATAATAGAAGGTTGAGAGGGCATAAGAATGTGCCCAAAAACTGATCTAAAAATTAAAATTTCATTGTACCTATATAAAGGTGTGAATTATTGTATTTAGTTTCCTAAAAAGTTATTGTCCAGCTTTGCCTTCAAGTATCTTCGACTCTTCTCCATTCGATTTCTGTTTGATCTAGTTGGTTACATCTAGAAATATATATATTCGCATGTTTTAGTTAAGTAAATAACTTTGATTTTATTGATCGATCGATTAGTATCGTTCACTCGTATTAATAGGAAACAATTGCATCAAAAGCATTTTGCAGGAAGAGTTTCAGAACTGTTAATGCAGCAAATATTACTAAATAATTATAGTTTCAATGTAGAACATTTTTGTGAACATTTGCGATTATCTGTCAAAAATAGTTCAATTCTGAAAATCAAGTTTTAGCTTCTATTTATTATGAGTACAATAAATATTATAAGTATCTTTTATGAGGCTTTCAGCTTTGCCCCTTTTGCTTAAGCTCACATATTACGCGATTGTAGAGTAAACTTCCATAAACAGAAACAATAACATATTCACAATTATGCTAAAAGGAAATATTCTGGTACTATATTGGCTAGATTCAGTGATGCAAATGTAGCTTAGTAAATTTAGTATCTCAATGCTCCTGGCTGCTGCTTATCCTTATCAATCTCTATTAAACTGCGCTTCAGGCTGAGATCACGAGTTGCAGCTAGGCTCGAGCTGCTTGGGACTGAGCAAAAAAGCCATGACAAATGGCCAGTATAGTGCATATTTATGAGAGCACACACACACACCCACACACACACTCAAGGCCAGCTGCACTCGCTGGGCACTCGACGCTCGGTAAAATGCCAGCACAAAGTTTATACGCACGTAGTCAATTACTCACACCAGCAATGCGAGGCAATGCAGCTAAAGGGCCATGCCCAGCCGCCCATGCGATGCACATACACACAAATACACGCCCCCCACGTTATGCATATGTGTGTAGTTATATATTTGGCATCTGGCGAGAGCCGAGTCCCAAAATTCTTTAAAATCGATTTTTGAAATAATTTTGAAGTAATGATTTCAAAGGGGAGTTGTGGCATTGAAATTTCAGCTTGCAGGCTGCCCGCATCTGCACATGCAACAATTCCATAAATATTGAATGTGCAATAAAATTGAAAGTAATTTCTATGCAACAACACTTGGCCACGTTCGTCGCCCACTTTGGGTATCTGGAAATCTATGACAATTACAATTGGAATTTATTTGGCATTATGGTCGAGTGCCAGACGCTCTTGAGTTACTGTTGATTAGAAAATTGTTAAGCTTCGACTCATTCGATTGCAATACAATGCCAAAAATTGCCAAAATGCCATTTGGAAGTTTTTGCTCGAATGTGGCCAAAGAAGCTGTAGAAGAAATGCACAGTTCAGCAGAAAATAAATATATTAAAATTGGTTGACTTCACGAAAACAAGACGTAGCTGACATTGCAAGTTTCCTAGAAATTGTAATTATATATATATATATATATAAATATATTTATATATATAAATTAAAGAATTTTCAGCTTAAGCTTGAGTAGCTTACTATATTCTCTTTCATTTATTACATTAATATGTAAAACGACATATAAGTAGAGCAAATATTATGAACAATATCTGACTAATTATATTTTATGATTTTTTAATATAAATTTAAATTCAATTAATAATTTATTTTGAAAAGCGCGCGCTCTTTTGATGGGCTCTGCAAACTTTGAACTGCTTGCTGTAAGTTGCTAAACACAACTGCTTTGTGTACTGCCGTCTTATACACTTACACTTACGACGTACTTGAACTTTAACACAGAAAATGCAACTTTATCATTTATTTAAAAATATATAAAATAAAATGAATTTTATTAAACGAAATCCAAATGAGTCCACAGACCTTTGCTTATATTCCAATTTACGTCCAATTAGATACACGCACAAGCTAAAAAAATACACATATAAAACTTATATAAAAATATATTTGGTTGAATTGACTGACTACAAGGAGCACTAGTTACTTCATACTTAAAACAAATTTCATTACTTTTTTCTCGTAATTTCCGTGGCATTCGTTAAGCTGAATCTTCACTATCGGAACTTACTATCATGTGAAGGAAGGATAATACCACCAGCATGGCATAACACTTGCTAACTGTTGAAATAAGCAACATAGTAAAGTATTACCAAAATTCTACTCACTTAATGTGCCGAGGAAGATTCCGAAAAATAGAGCTATGGATATTACTTTTGTTTTGATTAGGATCATAAAGAAAATACTCAAGAATATTGTTGAAAAGATGCCCCACATTAGATACGTGAAAATAATACCCGATGATTCCTAGATGTGTAAGATTAAACAGAGATAGCTTATGATTTTCAACAACTTTGAACTCACATGGTCCTGGAGCGTGGAAATCATCATTAGAATGGTCAGGAGACAGGAAGTGCCCAAAGTTATGATAACCATAGACTCTAGCATTTCGGAGAAGCCTAAGAAAATGCCTTTTAAATTAGCATCGGATATAGCACAATTTCAATATATTACCATATGTGTTTATCAAATAATAGAATCCGTAGCCATATAGAGCAATCTCTACAAATCCTATTAGTCGACAACCAAAACGTAGGCCAAATATGAAAAGAAAGTTGTGTAAATAAAACATTTTCATCCTGCCGAAACCGTTTTGCGCAGCTGACTAGAATAAACGATACATTATTATATGGTATGTTTAAGTGTAATCTTCACTAGTCAACGATTGTGCAGTAACTAATGTGAACTGCTTTTAAATATACATTCCACTGCTTTGTGTACTGCTTTACTTACATGAATTGCAATGCTTGCGAAAGTTGGCATACAGAGAGTAGGGTCACCTGCTTTGAGCCCTGTTTCCATTTGTCACGTTTTTGGTTGATTCTATCGGAATATTCTTCTCTACGTTCGTGTTTATACGTAAGACAATCATTAAAATTAACACAAAAACTAAATTATTCAAAACATTCCCAAAAAGTCAATGATTACTAAATAATAAATGTTTTAACCCATAGAATATTTGGACTACAATCAATGAAAACAATCTGTCAAGAATTGCTTGAATATAACCCACAATAGTCGGGAACTCTGACGATTCAATATAGTTGTTTATATACAGTTCTTTTTATTTCATTATATTTATTTTTATTAGAAAAATAACGTGTTTACATACAATTACGTAGAAGCTTAATGCTTATATATCTGGAACTGTTACGCGTTTAAATCTGTACTTTTTTTACTTTCATTTATTTGTTTCTTCACATTTTGTTGGACTTAGCATTGAAAACTTTAGAAGCGAGGTAATGTTATATCTGGGCATAATTTATATTGTATAAATGTATAATTAGATCTGCCTAGCTTAGACTATTGTGTATAGCCGAAAAAACCTGATGATCGTAATACATTTCTGATTTCCTTATAACAAGAATATTTATATATATAAATATATATATGTATACGTATGTGCAGCAGCTGGAGACGTCCGAAAGTTTACAAAATACAATAACAACTACGCAGAAGATTTAAATGCTAAATACAAATTATTTATAAAATTGTTGTATTATTAGTATTATTATTAGTATTATTATTATAAAGCTATGCATGTTGCTGTTGTGTTGTTTCATTTCATTTCTTTAGTATTAGTTTAGGCAGAGTCCCTTGGGGATTAGTCAAAAATAAAGCCACAGCAACATGACGACTATATTTATGTATATAGAGCTTCATCATATCATTATGAACGACTGTCGCCCTAAGCTCGACTTGTGTTGGGTCACACAACTGAGGACAACTTTCAGCTTAAAGTGCTATGTGTGTGTGTGTGTGCGGATATTACGTATACGTATACGTGCATTTCTTTCGAGCTTAGTACTCAATCGGTTGGGGATCACGTGACTTGCGTGAATACTTTAGGCCCAAATTCTCGCTGACATCGTCGATGACGTCAAGCGCATAGTCCAGCTGTTCTTTAGTGTGCGCGGCCGACAGACAGAATCGTATGCGACCCTCCATAATGGGTGTGGCCGGAAAACCAGCGCCCACAACGGCGATATGACGCGTGGTCAGCGTGCGAATGACAGCGCTAAGCATAGAATAGGATATATAAAATATTTACGACTTAATAACATGAAAGTTGCCTACCCAATCTTGGAGAAGAGATAGACCAGCATGGGCACCACCGGCGAGTCCTCGTGGCCATAGGTAATGACGCCCATTTGGGCCAAACGCCTGCGGAAGTAACGCGTGTTCCTGGCCAGCTGCTGCACTTTGTTGCGGCCCGTGTCTGTGTTGTCCTCGCCCATTATAATGCTCATCGAGGTATAGATCTGTTGCACAATAGGCGGCGAGATGGAGCTGGCATAGCAGTGAGCGTGACTGTTTGTGCGCAAGAAGTCAATCAGTTTCTGTGCGAAGCGAAGAGAAGACAAGGTGAATGATGTGTCAAGTAGAAGCCATTAAGTACGTTTACCTTGGAGCCCGCTATGTAGCCGCCGGCGCTGCCAAAGCTCTTGGTAAAGGTGCCCATTAGAATGTCTACATCATTGGGATCGGCTCCGAAGTACTCGACCACACCACGACCAGTTGGACCCATGGATCCAATGCTGTGCGCCTCGTCGAGATACAGATACGCCTTGTACTTCTTCTTTAGGGCAATTATCTCGGGCAGGCGAACAATGGAGCCTTCCATGCTGAAGATGCCTTCCACAAGAATCATTATCTTATTCCAGGGCTTGCCACCGTTCTTCGGGTTGCCATAGCAGATGCCGTTGCGTAGCACACGCTCCAGATCGCGCATATTGTTGTGCTTGAACACACGTGTCGTAGCGCCCGACAAACGCAGACCGAGAATGATGGAGGCGTGATTCTTCTCATCGCTCACAACCAAACAGTTCGGACCCAGAAGCGATGGCAAATTGAGGGCGTTCGTAGCGAAGCCCATGCCAAAGACTATGGCATCCTCGACGCCAAGGTAGCGGGCTGTCAGCCGCTCCAGATCAATGTGCAGCTGCGTGTTGCCCAGCTCAGATCGGGGACTGCAGTAGGCAAGCCCCTTCTGGCGCGCACGCTGCTCTGATTCATCCGCACAGGTGCCGGTGGCGGCAGCAAAGCCCAGGTAATTATATGAGCCCAAATTGAGGCAGCGCGTCTCGGTGCCCGTAAATCTAAAGCTCCAACCGTAGTCGTCCGTGACGCGATCCTTCAGCACCAGCTCGTCACCCGGCACACTGCAAATGGGTCGATTCCAGCAGTCGCGCACACGACGGTAAACATAGCGAGAGTAGAAGCTCTCGAAAGCATCGTAGAGGGTCACATAGCCCTCGCGGCCCTTCTCCGTGGCCACCTTGGGTACGAACAGCAGCTGGTTGATGTAGCCCAGTATCATGAGCAGATAGAATCCCAGATAGGTCAGGCAGGCCGTGTGCAGAGGCACATCCTCAAAGGACGTCTTCTGGTAGTGCTCCTGCTCCGCCGACAGCACGCCGTCCGCCCGACTCGGCTTGAACTTATCGCATTTGCTGCCCGTCTGGCTAACATAGCCATTGGCCTCCGCCTGCTTTTCCGGGTGATAGCTGCCTTCGTTGACGCCCTGCGTGGATATAGATTAGATAGAGAGATTAGACGGGCGACTATGCATAATTGATTAAATAACATGTCTTCACTAATACGGCTGGAATTTCGCCTATCGACAGGGCGTTATCACAGCCGGCAGAGAACAGGTGTTTGACAGTAATTAACCCAGCCGGTGAGCTGATTAATTAGCACTTTTCAATGGCTGAACTATATGTTTAGCAGAGAGTGAAACCGAGATCTTTAACAATCCTAATCTGAATTGTTTGATTCGTGAATTGCAAATTGTTATCTTAGCGAAATTTCAGCCCGCAAGTCTCTAGATAAACATACTACGAATCATCATGCATTCAGCTGAAATATGTTTAAGGTCTATTAGCTAGTTGAGTGACCTTTCGGCAATCAAGGCATGACCTGCAGCTCAAAAATCATTTCATCGGACGCTCATTTGAGACACCTTCATTTCTATACCCTGCGCGCAATGCATATGGGTGCAAAGGGTATGATGACTTCAGCATATGCGCTCAGGAGAGAGCTTCGTTATGTTTATCTGCTCAGCACTAGAAAAAAGATAAGATAAAATCAAATTTAATATAAGATTTGTCGCAGCTCGAGTTTATCGTATCTTCAGTTAGATAACACTTTCCATTTCCTCTATATTATTAAATAATTAATATAATATAATACAGAGACTATGTGTAGCTCATAAATCATAGCCAAAGTTAGCACTTATCCAGCTGGCTTTCAGTCTTTGCACCCATTCACAAAGTCCCATTCGAATAGTTTCTCTTTAGCTTATCTGCTAGTCAGGCACTCCCCACTTAAGCACTCTTCGTCGTCGTCGTTGTCGTTGTCGTGTCGTCAATCAGCCAATTAACATTTAACTACCAGAATAAAAGAAGAAGAAAAACTGCGTTCAGCATGGCCCCTCGGCCACTCGTTCGCTCGCCCTCATTGTGCAGCAAAGTCATTCCGAAGCCGTAAAAATACTCTAACATTACAGTACATCTGTATTTGTGTACGTGTAGGTATAACTAAGTGGAGCATTACGCAACACGGCACACAACCAGCGCACTGCGTGAAGTTATTTGATAGCCTACGACCAGATATTCGTCAATTGTCGAAGACCGGCTCGCCTCATCTCTGAAGCACATCTCATTAAACAGTGTTCTCCACATATATATACATATGCATTCATATAATCAGATATATAACACAATTGTATAACAATAAATCGTAGACGGCGACAATATGTCGTGTTTATGATCATTTGGCTTGTTTGCAAAATTTTCCTCTTATGCGAGAAATTGGACACGCAACTGCAATTTTTAAGCGACGGATCGTGAATTAGTTACATACTATATATATATATACCTAAATACCGCATGTACCAGTACTATATGGGCACATTAAGTCCACGTGCACTTCAGGCCACATAAATAAGTATTTACTATTATTAGCCGCTTGTAAAGCTGGACTACAACTAAAAAACATTGCAACTATCTGATTACGGCAAAATACACTACACAACAAAGTTTAAGTTGAAGGCATGACACTGGAGCGCAATGTGATCTAAATGGTTCTGTTTATTTATCAAGTAAATATATATTTTTAATTATTTATTTACTGATTTACGAATTGAGCTTTAGTTGACATATATTTTTCTTGGGAAATCTTTGAACAATTGTAAATAAATTCAAAATTCAGCCAATCGATTTGTATTAAAACATTCCGAACAAGCAGTTGAAAAGAAATTCGATATTTTATACATAAATATAAACATTATGTGTATATATTTAACTTTTGCTATTATTAAATAAATATTTGAATATCACAAACAAAAAAATACCTGCAGAACTAATTTTCTGTGCTTTCTCTTTAAATGAGCTCATAATGAACTAAGAACTTTATCAACAAAAAAAAAAACACAACAAAAAAACATTGATTCCGATCGGACTAACTGTGAATCACCCCACAACAGCCAATGGCAGTGCGACTGAGCGCATTTTATTGGAAAGCTTTACGTAAAATTCTTGTGTGCTGAATGAGTGTTAGCTGATAAGAAGGTGGAATGACGATTGTCCAAAACCACAGGCCAAGCTGTCTAAACGAATTGAGTTGGGTGCGGGGGTCATAAACAAACAGGTCAGAGGTGGCGATAGGGCCAGGACACGTGTCCTCTTGTTGTCAGGGCAACCAGCGCAAACATTTGCGCCGCCCAAAACAAACGCGGCGAAGAAAAGTCAAAAGATAACGAAGGAGAGAGAGAGTGAGGGAGAGAGAGCGAAAACACTGCATTTCGCAGTGCATTCGCGTCGGGATAAAATACGGCGAACAGCTGGAAATTGACCCACAAATAGCGCCAGTGTAAGTGGCGCCAGCTGCACTCATTTCCCAACATTTCCCCGTAGCACCAGCTGACTAAGGCAACTCACTCACACACTCATACATTCTCACACGTACGTATGGATTACTCTTGTTTTTTTTTTTTGGCGCGTTGCTCTCTTCGTACACGCGCCCGCTTATTCATAGGTTTACTCTCTTGCACACACACACTTGCAGGCAAAATCAATGAAGCGCCGGCACGAGGAGAACAAGAAGCAGAAACTGAAGCAAAAGCGTGAAAAAAACATTCGAAATTTGCCTCGCCCGCTTGTTTTCAATTTTTTTTTTGGTTTTTCGGCCAGCTCACCTTGAGTTTTAGGCCTCCAGTCCGTGTGCGGATTTCGGTGTAGGCCGGTGCAGAGAATTTAAGCTGTTTGTTCAGCAGCAGCTGCAGCTCCTGCTCCTGGTCATTGTGCTGCTCCTCCTGCTGCTCATCTCTCCACTGTTCAACCGAGTGGTTGGGAATGTGTCCATTGCTAATTGGAGTGGAAGCCTTTGCAGTGCCGTTGCTGCACTTTACATAGTTCTGCTGAAAGGTAGCGCCGTCATCGTCCACGTTGCCCATTGTGGCTAATAAGCGAATTTAAATGGCAGTATTATTAACACCGACAAATCGAATTTCGTTGGCCCCAAAACTGTCAACCAGCGCGTTCGAACTAAAAGTATTTTACGGTGATTGAGGGTTTGCAGCAAATAGTGAGAGTCCCCACACTCTGTTAGATATGTAAGGGCGTGTGGTGAGTTTCGCTCAGCTGATATCGAATTTTCGTGCTGACATGTAAGCAACGGCTATTAGCTATCGAACTTGTGCTAGCAAACAAGCAAAATTCATTTAATTCTAAATATAATAATAATTAAGTAAAAGAAAAAAAGACAGCAGACATTTATAGTGATTATTAAATAAGCTTTTAGTAAAGAATAAATGAAATAAGTGTATAAGTATCGTATGTTATGACTCTGCTTTGCTTATGTTAATGTGGAACTGAATTTATGGAACTGGAACTAACACGAAACACTACACAAGTGCAGTTGGCAACACGCTAACTTTTGATTGGCAACTTTGTTTGTATAAAAACCGTTATATATTCAAATATGTATATTGTAAGTTGTAAAATATCAATTTTGAATTAAATATTTTTTGCATGTATACATTATTTGTGCGATTAAATCAATCAATTTCGTTATCAATTATTTACTGTAAGCAGTGTTTCATTTAAAATGTATAACACACAAAGCAGTTGTTACAAGCAGTTCTATAGCTCAATTCGCCGCGATTTTTTGCAAGCAGTTTTTATGAGGTCTTCATTGCAAGCAGTACGGTTAAGTCCTAAATGTAAGCAGTGTAAATGCATTAAGTAGAGTTTTCTGAGATTCCGAACAACTCTTGAAAATAGATCGTTTTCGGAAATGGCAGATGAGTAGAATATTTCAAAATTGCTCACCTTTTATGTTACCTGAAGAAATGTAAATTCAATTTGAACTATTTAAAAAATTCCTCACATGAATAAATTTCCATAAAAAGTGAGCAAAACTTTAATGAATCGAATTGAATTTCGATTAAATACGTAAAAAGACGAAAAAGTGCGTAAAGCGGCAATTGTAGTAAAATTCATGAGGCCCCCGCAAAGTGCGTTGACTTGGGCAATAGGCCTATAGCCTAACGGAATAATAAGACGCGTCTGACAGATCCCCAAGAAGAATTCAAAGCAAAGAAAACGAAACTCTTTTTTTCTTATGTTTCGCGGAAGAATTTGAGCAATTTGTAAATGAGTTGAGCTTTGGATGATAGAGACTATTGACTCATTTCAAGGATTTTGTAGACGAAAAATAGTTTTCGGGGGAAAAAAACATTGAACTCAACATTATGCGTCGAATTTGTTAAAGTAAACAAGATAAAGACAACAGCACCAACAGCTACTGAAGACGTCATCGAAGTGAAAACAAACAACAACAATCCATTCCACATGCAATTCAATTGTAATTAAGTTGAAGTTTCGATTTGCGCTTCTTTATCGTAGGCCGCATATGCAAAATGCCAACACGTTCCCTTCCGAACTCGCAACGATCATTGCAACGATATGCAAATGATTGCCAAATTGTTGCTGCTGCTGCTGTAACTGCTGCTGCCACTGTCTAGCCCTAGCCCTTTGCTGCCTTGCGCCCAGAAACCGGGTCACGTTGAGCTGCGCTTGCAGAGTGCAGAGCGTGGCGGCACCCTGAAAAGCCAGCCAACAACTGAAGCTCAACTCGAATTTGATATGCTCTATTTTTTGACCTTTGCTTTAACTCAGCAAACGCTCTGCCTGGCCGCTGCATAGGACCCACGCTCTCTACTTGCAGTTACGTTACTTTTGTCCACTCTCTGCTTTTCTCCATCTCTCTCTCTCTCTCTATGACGGGCTTCAAGTGCGACCAAAGCTCCGTTATATATTATTTTTAGCCTATGTGCGCCTTGCGCTGCCATATGAATTCCAACAGCAGACAATGTATTTTGTGCTCCTTTCAATAGTTCCAGTTCCAGCTTATAGTTGCTTCAGCAGATGCTAAACTAACAGCTTAACATAGCTGTTATACCCCACTGTTAAATGCAAGCTGCGCTTCGTGTTAGCCAATAGCTGGCAAAGATTCTGAATCTGGCTTATCGACAGACACCAAACGACAAAATCAGCGACTTATTGCAACTTATTGTCAATGGAATTGAATGCCAAAATTTGTGTTTGTTGCAGCAATTTTTATCCGTTTTATTTTTATTTTTTTTCTTTTGTTATCGATTACATCGTTTGCCCACGGTTCAAGTACATTCGATTTGTTTTCCATTTTGGCAATTAAAATTTTGCCAAATTGTGTAAGCAACACAGGCATTAAAAGTGTCGCACTGTGTCGCAACAACAACGGTAACAACAACAACAACAACAAATGCCAACAACCCATCAGCAGCAGCAACAATAGTTTGGCCCATAAACTTTTGTCGCTTTGCATAATTACGACTTTGTGCGCTTAATAAATAAGAAAGGCGCAGACTTTACAGTTGTTGTCTCTACTCCTCGCTCTTTCGCTCTCTCTCTCTCCTTCTGCAATCTCCACCCAATTTGAAGCCGACGCGGGCGTTGCTCTAACAAGCATAAAACTCGCTGAAATGAGCTTCGTCTAACGGCAACAGCAACAACAACTGCAGCAGCATTTGCATATGTGTGTGTGGGTGTTTCTTTTTTCTTGCAGCTATTGTTGCTGTTGTTGTCGCCGATGAATCACGCGTGATATTTGCGTTACATTTACTGCTGCTGCAGCGCAACTGAACTTCTGTGCCTTTATCTATGCACTTGAGCATGAAGTACATCAATTTTATCATTTACTTTGCAACAGATGAGTGAAACTCTACGTACATATATACTGGTAAAGGAGATATGTGTTATTATTAGTATTGGTATTGGTAGTGGTGGTGGTATTAGTATCATATTTGTATTAGTATTAACATTAGTGGTATCATATATGATTATTATTAATTATTATTATTTTTACTTACTTTATCATTATTAGGATTATAAGAATATAAGTGGTAGTGTATCTAATAGTGGTTGCCCGCCTGCACTTATTTTAGCCTTATTTATTTGCCTGAATGGCGGCGACTCGCCTGACTCTCCAAGTGGACTTTGCGCCTGGCTGGCAGCGTAGTTGACATTTTCATTATGCGAGCCGTGGCTGGGGGCCAAGTGTCGTTCGCCATTGCCACCGGCAACGACAACAACAGCAACACATCACAATGGGGCGTGGCCTGGCACTCAGTCAACTGATTTTCAAATGCGTTGACAGCTTTGGCTGTCAATCGTTTTGTGTGGCTGAAGTCAGATCTCGCCGTAGGTGTTGCAACTGCTGTAGAACATGTGATTAAGCTGTGAACTGTAGCAGCCCAATGAGCGCATAAACAATTATCAACTATTCAATGTGTCATTAATGAATAAGGCCCATCCCCTCAAACTTAGTGGAAACAATCCATTCAAGCTTGTTTAAAAAAATAAAAAATACTTTTTGTGCAGTTGCAGATCTTGATGATCTCGATTAAGGCTAATTGATTAATAATAATCAAGTTTTTTAATTTAATAATTAAAATAACTATCTTTTATTATAATTATGTAATAGCGTTTTAGTTAGTTTTAACATACATTTCTTGAAAGTTGATTAAGTGAGAAATGCTTTCTTTTTTTATTTGAAAATAATTAATTGAATAAATATCAATCATCTCTTGTAGAGCCTTAAGAAGCTTAACAATAAATATACTTCTTATGTTCTCAAAATGGTTGTATATAGTGACTATTAGAATCATATTACTAGTTTTAGTTGTATTAAAAGTTTGTTGTTCTATGGGTTACAGAGGTGTTCATAAAAATAGTACTGCTCATCTATAAAATTTAAACCACTTAAAAAGATATTTTTCCCCATTGTATTGTTGTTTGTATTGTGTTTACTACTAAGTTTTGTTTTCCAACATTTATTACTGAGTCGCACTACTATTTTGCTGAACACAGCTGTACACAGAAATAAAAGTTTGCCAAAAACCTCTAAACATGCCTTATAGATGTCATATATGAAAAGAGATTATATAAGTATTGGTGAAATGTTCGATTTATTTTTATTTTAAAGGCAAGTTGTGTTATTATTTAATAACAGTATTAGAGATAGAAAAATATCCGTTTAATTCTCTTTCAACATTTATATATTTTCGTCCTTTTAGCTAATTATGTTAAATTAAAACATAGACCTTGGCAGTTTTTTCTTAATTATTTTCCCTTTCTTTTGTCTGTTGTTTAACAAGTTATAAATTTCGTAAGTCACTTAAAATTCGCTTAAGATCACAAATTACACACACACCCATATATATACACCCTGAGCACACCCTCACCTAGGCATACGAAGAAAACATCAAATTTCAATTATCGCAATGGCAAAAGGAAGCAAAAACTAAGCAAATAGGCGACGACCCCAACGAAAGCAACAGCAAAAACAAATAAAAAACTTAAACAAGTGTCTCAGCAACACGAGAGGGAGAAAATGCAAATGCGAATAGCAGCAGCAGCAGCAACAACAACAACCGCAGCTGCTGCTGCTGCTGCTGCCTGAAATGTTGTTGAACTATTCGAAAGTGATTTCCACAAGGGCAATTAATGTTTCAATAAACGATATTCTAGCTCAGAGCACAGCAACAACAGCAATCGAGAGGCATCAACAAATTTGTTGCAACTGTTGCCAACAACATATTGCTGACTGCTGCCGTTGCGCCTCATGTTGCAGTTGGGTGCAGGAAAAAAATGTTATTGAAATTGGCTTTTTATGTTTATGAAAACGGGCGCTGAACTGCACATGTGTTGGGGGCAGGGGCAGCGGCAGCGGCAGGAGGCGTGGTGATGGTCAAAGCAAGGAGTCCAGCGAAGCTGGGCTAAAAGTATTTCAGTCTTCAGATCGGTTGCGGGATCGAATTCGCAGCTCGGCGTTAATTGCTGCCATTTGCAATCGTATTTATGGCTCACGCCTCGCTCACGTTTTGGCCATCAACAGCGGCAGCAACAGCTTCAACAAAACATTTGCAGTGCGTACAAATGTTTAGCTAATTGCCAATTTTATTGGCCAGCTAATTTGTGGGCGGCAGCCATCTAAAAAGTCAAGAGTCGACTCGACTCCAAATGCATTTGTATGCACTGTG